CATCAAAACTTCACAAATATATCTGATCTATAATCGGACACACAACTGCCAAGTTTCATGAATCTGACTTTATTATTTTCCCAAATATTTAAAATTAGCTTCTGGAGTTGTATGGCAGGTACCCGAACCTGTAAAGCAATTCCTCTAAAACTTCAGAAGTATATTTGACCTATAATTGGACACATGACTGCCAAATTTCATGAATCTGACTTTATTATTTTGCCGAATATAAAAAATTTGCTCTTGGAGTTGTATGCCAGCCACCCGAACCGGTGCAGCTATCCCATTACAATTTCTAGAGCATGTGTTGAATATAATTGGACACATGTATACAAAATTTTTTATTTATAGCTTTATTAGTTTTTGAAATATTTAAAATAAACTCTTTGAGTTGTATGGCAGCTACCCGAACCCGTTGTCCGAATTAGTCCAATAACAATAGGGCTCGTCCTTGGCACAAAAGAAACAACTTGTGAAAGTTTGGTGTCGATTACATTATTCGTTTTTGAGTTATCGTGCGATCGGACGGACGGACGGACGGACGGACGGACGGACGGACAGACGGACATGTCTAAATCGACGCAGAATTTTACGCTGAGCAAGAATATATATATATGTCCATACCGCAGATGACTCCTTCAAGTAGTTACAAACTCCATACCAAAGTTAATATACCCTTCACGTAGTGCAGGGTATAAAAACATCTTTATTTTCCACATTAAAAGAAAAATAAACAAGGAATTCAATATAAATTTATTTCAAATAAATCATTTTAATTTTAAAACAAAATAATGTCGAATAAATTAATCATAAAAAACAAAGAAAAAAAATTTTTTTTTTTTTCATTTCATTTCTTGTTTCAACCTTTTTATGTCAATTTTAATTTAAATCTTAAGTGCGAATAAATTTTATTATGTGGTCACACTTTAAAATTAAAAATACATTTAAAAACAAAAAAAAATTAAAACATTTTACACAATAGCGCAAAAAAAAAAACAAAAGAGAAAAAAAAACGTAATAACAAAATTTGTTCAACCCACTTGATTTTGCCACTGGACACCATTTTCATATTTTTTTTTTCTTTTTTTTGTCGTATTTATAATTTTTAAAATATTTTGTCACTAGCAAACAAATTCAATTCACGTTTTCAATTCAAATAAATTGAATCACTTGATAATATTAATAAAATATTTCGAATAGATTTAAGAACTTTCGCGTCGTCATACTGTAGAGCCTAGATTAACTTAAAGTTCAATTGAAAATTTGATGTTCTACACGTGCCGGCCAAAAGCACTAAGTCACTTCTCTTTAAATTCGATTTGAAAATTTTCAGAAAATTGTCTTTAACATGAAATCTACACCTTCTTATAGTCAAATAACCTTGTGTCTTTGGACAAAAAATTCGGCTGTTAAAATTTAATGAAATTTTTATTATAATTTTGATGCGGAAGCTATGTTATACATAGAATTGTATTGATCCAAATTGATCTCAAATATTTTCACGGAATTTATCACCTTTTGGATCCAGTTTCCTACAATTTTGCTAAAGAAAAGTTTATGGTCTCTTCAAAATCTCTTCAACAGTATGTACCTTACACGACAACATATCATATACTTTAAAAATATTGCCCTGGTATAATTTGTATGAAGGACTTTGCTCTCTTAAGACCGATTTCCTAACCAAGTATTCTAACTTTAAGTGCCTTAAAAAAACTTATATAGTGCAGCTATAATCAATTTACTACGCCAAAAATTTGGTATCGAATATGTTTCAAGATCTTTGGTCTCTTAAAAACGATTTTTCAAAAATATCTGTCAACACTTATATGATTAAAACCGTATTCACTTTAAAAATTAGAAAGCGACAATAAGCTTATCTTCTTAAACAATTAACAGATGTCACTGTACTATATCATTATTGTGTGTTATTCTTGGGTTCATGCAATATAATTCCAAATAAAAGTTCAATATTTCCAAAGAGAATTGTGAGATTCTATTAATTTTTTCAAAAATATCTACCAAATTGCGATATACTAGAGAAGGATGTGCAAAATTCTACAAAAAGAGAAAATTATTAAAAACTGAATATTAAAGTTAACCATTAAAAATGCCGATTAGCACTGTTGACAGTGCCATGGTCATTCACTTTAAAAAAAATTTTTTTTTGTCTGTGGTCTTTTTCAAAAGCAGAAATTCTCTTACACTCATGTTATATAAAATAATTAATAATATAGTGTGGCGGAATATGAAAAAAAATATCAAATATCATTGTTGTATTTTAATATTAAAAAAATAAAAATTTAGTCATACTCAAAATAAGCACAACTATCAAACGCAAAAAAAAAAAAATTAAAATATTCAATTCAATTTTTATAAATTGATTTCGTGATTAAACCATTAAATAAAATAAACCGCGTTTTATCTTTTAACTAATTTTTTTTAAATAATTTATTATTTTTTTTCTATTTAAAATGAAAAAATTACCTATTAAACATTTGAAAGTAATTTGGGTGGTGGAATGGGGCAAAAAACGCATAGACAGAAATTTTGTTTGATTTTTTGTTTTTTTATGAAAAAGTAGAAATGACACGATAATGGTCGTCTATTTTGAAAATTGTTTAAATGAATTATTGGGGAGAAATATATTTTATTGATTTGGAGTAGATTCTCTAAAAGTTTGATTACATTAAGGATTAATGGAGTGATGAGTATTGAGATCATGTGGCTAGGCTTGAGTTGCCGTGTATTGAAAAGCAAATTACCATGTATAGGCCGCAGTTTCCGGGCCATAGAATAGAAGCATGCACTTTCTCACAATCTCTGCGAGTGTTCGAATGTAAGGAGCTGAATAAGATATCAAAGATTGTTATTGATTACTTAGACAGATTTCTTAATCGATTATTTCTCTTGATCTCCTATTATCTTATAATATTACGTCTGCTATTTGGTACAATATGAAAATAACGGTGCAATAGTTCCATTAAACGTTTCTGAGCAAATACTTAATTCAATAAAAACAACAATATTTCCCAAATTTTTAAATAAATTTCAAAATTTACATGAATTATACCCTTGTTCGCGAATAATTGCTAACACTTTTAAAATATTTAAATAAAAAATAAGTTTTTTGTTTTTTAGAATTCTCAGTTTATTATAGAAAGCACCAAATCCAAAAAATTTATGTTCTCTTTTTCTTAAAAAAAAATTTACTAAATAAATATGTTTTATATATATATATATTATATTTTCTTTCTCTTCAATTTTCTTTTCTTTTTTTCAAATTGCTTCACAATACAAATCAATACAAATTTTCTTTTCTTCAAATTATTTCACAATGCAAAAGTTATATGTACAAAGTTGAAATTATACAATTCAAAAAAATGATCTTTGTTTTAACAATACTTTCTTTCGGTTTCAATTATATAATTCAAAAAGTTATTTCAATTTTGACAAAATGTATAACTCGAAAGTCGATACGTTGCGGTGAGCGATCTTCTATTTAGTCGTACTTCTTCTTGATGATTTTGTCCCTTTTATAATTTCTGGAACCAGCGGTTGAGTAAACGGTGAAGTTGTTCCTAGCCAGTCCCACTTTTCGGTTGTTAACGTTTTCTTCTTTTCTTTTACATAGATCATATGGTATAGTTCAACGAACCTGTAATGCAATGTATCATTCTTATATACATCGCAATACAAATTGTTGTTGTAAAATTCTACGTTTCTTCTTTTCTATTTTATGCTATTTTCCCCTTCCATTCTCCATTTCATTCACCTTCTATTTCCTTTCTTACTCTATTACACTTCCATCAATAGCTGACTATAACCCTAAACAAACTCATCTATGATCATAGGTGACAGTTGGCAGCATTGAAATATAATATTTGTGCAGAAATGATCGCTGCAAACTGTCACTCACCAGTTTTATTTATATTGTGATGTGAAGTGCAAGTTTTTTAAAGAAAGCAAAAAATCAAAATTTTACACAAAAAAAAATGGAGATTTATAGGAGCCGGAGCTCAAAAAGGAAATGCAGCAATGGAAGGAAAAAACGATGGAGGAGTGAAGAGCAACCAAAAAGTGCTGGACCGGCACTTGAAAATCCTATCTGGACTGGTAGATGCATAGCTGGAAAACATTGCAAATTCATGTAAGTATTTTATTGCAAATAAGATTACATGTTAAATCCAATATATTCAATTTTAGGTGAAGAACAAAAACCCGCTGAGTGGATTACACTGGATTATAGCAAATTTAGATAAGTATCAAAAATTTTCCTTCATATCAAGTAGTGTTTCTTTGTGGTTTTCTTTTGTTGTTTTCTTTTTAGGAAAGGAGAAAATTAACTGTGACGTCATGACGGAACATTCTCCCGGCCTTGGCATCCATGTTGAAAGATGGCAAAACAGTGACGTGCTGACGGGTTGCTGGAACATAAAAGGTGTGCTGCTGGTGAACAGTGATATTGATACCGAATTAGCCATGTTGTGATGATAATTGGTAAGTTTTCAAGTTTCGATTAAACGTTCCAAATGCAAGTTGTACCCATCACTAAAGTCATGTTCCTTTTAGGTCTTCACCTGTAACGAGAAGAGCAGAGGGATAGAAGGAAGAAGTTATAGCGCTTTATCTCGCTTTCCGGAAATTCAGGAAGTGGGACGAATTAGGATAAAGAAAAAAATCTATTAGTAATAAGTTAACTAACAAATTAATTTAAGTGTTACTAATTTTAAATTTTAAGTTAAATTTAAGCGTAGGTTAGAAATGTTTGTATTAGGTGCCTCTAATTTTTTTTTTTTTTTTTTTTTTTTTATCGTTAAGTAGCGCAAGTTAGGTGCTATTAGGTAGTGCGATGTTAGGTGCAACTCGGTAACGTTAGGTTGCGCGATTTCTTCCCGTTTTTTTTTTTTTTTCGTTTTATTGCGTATTAAGTGTAGTGCCAGTTGCGTACGATTAGATAACGATACGTTACGCGATTTTTTTTGTGTTTCTCAAAAATGCGATTAATCGGTCTCGATTGATTGCGTTTCGGTTTCATCATAATTTTCCATTGTATCTACTGGTAGTAAACATATCTTTGCAATCGAACGCTTCAACATATTATCCTTCGTTTTTAACGTAACAACTCGAACAAGTCCATCGGGACCAGGATGAATTTCTGTTATTCGACCCATCAACCATCGGCTTGGTGGCAACTTCTCGTCCCTAAGTAAAACCAAATCACCAATTTTCATGTTTTCAGTCCTTTTAGTCCATTTTGGACGCTGCTGCAATCGGTATAGGTATTCTTTATTCCAACGTGTCCAAAAGGTTTGATGCAATTTTTGCAATAGTTGCCATCTGTTCAATCTATTTTCGTTTAAATCCAGCAAAGAAGGCTCAGGTGGTGTAATAATTACATCACCAGTCAGGAAATGCCCAGGTGTTAGGGCCGTGCAATCGTCTGGATTTCTGCTAATTTCACAGAGAGGTCTAGAGTTTAGGCAAGCCTCAATCTGAGTTAGGACCGTTGAAAACTCCTCATATGTCAACTTCGCATTTCCGAGTATTTTTTTAAGATGCTGCTTTGTAGAGCGGACACCAGCCTCCCATAATCCGCCAAAGTGAGGCGAACCAGGTGGTATGAATTTGAAAACCACCCCCTCACGTTCGTGTACTTGTGCTAATTCTGATTTTAATTGCTGTAACATCTGTTTATGTTGTTTTGCAAGCTCTTTGCTAGCGCCGACAAAATTAGTACCATTATCGCAATAGAGTACCTCGCACCTGCCGCGTCTGCTACTGAATCTTCTGTATGCTGCGATGAATCCCTCACTGCTAAGGTCCGTGACCAGCTCGATGTGTATGGCCTTAACTGCAAGACATATAAAAATAGATATGTACGCCTTATATGTCCTCGTATTTTTGCCTTTATGAGTTCTCAATTCAAATGGCCCGCAATAATCAACGCCAGTATGTGTAAATGGCCGACTGGCCCTAACTCGAAAAGCAGGCAAGTCCCCCATGAGCTGTTTTTGAACTGCAGCCCGCTGTCGATAGCACGTGACGCATTTATGTATTTGTTGTCGAATTTGATCTCGTGCACCAATGATCCAAAACTTTCTATTTATTACGTTGAGCATAAGTTGAGCACCACCATGCAAAGTTTCGCGATGAATTTTTTCTAAAAGTAGTCGCACAAAATGGCTTCTATCGGGCAATATAATCGGAAATTTCTCATTGTAATTCAAATCTGCGTGTCGCAATCTGCTACCCATTCTCAATATTCCATTTTGATCCAGAAAGGGATTAAGCCTCGTTAAACGACTGTTCGTATGAATAAGTTTCTTTCTCCGCAATTGTGTCACTTCTTGTAAAAAATGTTTATGTTGCACTATTTGTATCCACATCTCCACGCTAGCGTTGAATTCTGACACCGATATAAATGTATTGCAATTTAGATTTCTCTTGGTTACCTTGGCGATGAATCTTTTGATGTAACTCGTTACATTTATGAGTTTTGTAAATGATGAATATCGTGTTTCCAATTCGTGAATCTCGTTGCATTCTTTATCATTTATGATCGTGTTGTGACACAGAGTCGATTTTCGTATCTCGCTATCCGTATCATGAAGTAGTATTTTAGTTGGCCAGTGTGACTCGGATTTCTGTAACCATTCTGGGCCGTTCCACCACATTTTGAAGTCTATAAGATCTGGTGGATGCATTCCCCGTGAAGCACAATCTGCTGGGTTTTCCTTTGAGGGCACGTGACGCCATATGTTTTTGCCTAATGTGTGATGAATCTCAGCGGTCCGATTTGCTACAAACGTGGTCCATTTGCTCGGGTGAGCCCGCAACCAAGCCAACACGATCTCTGAATCCGTCCAAGCTTGCACCTTCGATATATTTTCAATTTTCAATACTCGCTGGACATATTTCACAAGTTTCGCCAATAATGCCGCGCCGCTCAACTCTAGTCTTGGCAAAGATATTGTTTTTATTGGAGCCACCTTTGATTTTGCAATTAACATGCTAGTTTTTCGGCTTCCCTTTTCGTCTATGACAACCAGGTAGACCACCGCAGCATACGCCTTTATCGAAGCATCACAAAATCCATGTAATTCTATTTTATTTGCTGATGTTGAATAGTAGAACCACCTGTTTATACGTAGTGCTTCCAGATGAACAAGAGTCTTCCTGTAGATCTGCCATTCATCGTGCAAGCCCCTTTCTACCTCATCATCCCAGCCTGAACCCGAAAGCCATAATTTTTGTATCATTATCTTGGCCATAATGATACAAGGTGCCAACCAGCCGAGAGGATCGAATAGTTTTGAAACCTCCGACAATATTGTTCGCTTTGTCCATTTCTGTGAATCATTTTCCAGTAGGGAAATTTTATACGAAAATTGGTCGTTTGCTGGATCCCATTGTATGCCCAATGTTTTCACGGTTTCAGCTTCTTCAATTTTTAAAGGCCAATTGATTTCTCGATGTTCTTGTGGAAGGGCTTCTAGTAGCTCAGCTGCGTTTGATGACCACTTGCGCAATGAGAATCCGCCCGAAGTCATCATGTTCAATAATTGTTTTTGCATTTCCAATGCCTTTTCGATAGAATCCGCACCCGACAGCAGATCATCCACATAAAATGAATCCAACGTTATTCTTGATGCAATAGGATAGTTTAACTTTTCATCTATCGCCAACTGTTTTAATACTCGTGTTGCTAGAAACGGTGCTGATTTTGTACCAAATGTTACTGTAGTTAATTTGTAGTCCCGAATTGATTGACTCGGAGAATCTCTCCAGACTACTCTTTGATAATCGGCATGTTGCGGTGCGATTCTGATTTGCCTATACATCTTCTCCAAATCTGCTGTAAATGCAATTTTATATTTTCGAAATCGTAATAGAAGAGTAGATAAATCATCTTGTATGACCGGGCCCTTTAATGTTTTGTCATTTAATGATGAACCATTTGAAGTAGGCCGTGATGCATCAAAAACCACTCGTAGTTTTGTAGTTGAGCTACTTTCTTTAATGACGCCGTGATGTGGCAAATAATTCGAGATGATTTGTTGTCGTTGATTTTTTAATTCCATTGAATTCACTTGCTCCATATGGTTCATCTGCAAATATTCAGCTATGCACTTGTTGTAGTTGTCTTTCAATACCTCATTTTTTGAAAATTGCTTCTCCATGCCGAAAAGCCTGGCAATCGCAATGTGTCTCGAACTTCCAAGTGATATGGGACGCTCATCTGGTATAAAAGGTAACTCAACCTGATAGCGTCCATCCTCAAGTCTACGAAATGTTTCAGAAAAATGCTTTTCACATAATAATTCTTCTTCTGTATATATTGTTTGTTCCGGTACTTCTTCTAACTCCCAGAACCTTCTGATACTATCATCCAAATCGGATTGGATGTGGAACGTCTCTGTTGATGTCGTGTTGACACTTTGTTGATCGACATTGCCCGTTATGATCCATCCAAAAATAGTTTTTTGAGCAATTGGTGCACCAGGGGGACCCTTTCTTAGTCCCTCCAAAATAATTTGGCCAAAAATGTCTGCTCCGATGAGTACATCTATTTTTCCCATCGCAAAATAACTTGGATCAGCTAGGATCAATCCGTCTATGTGTGACCACTCCTTGGTTTGAATATTACGCTCTGGTAGCAAGTTGGTCAGTTTCTTGAGAACCAATGCCGAAGTTCGCACCTGCTTGGAGTCTCCTAGATCTCGTATAATGACATCCACTTTTGCTAGTGATTTGCCAATGTTGCTTTGTGATACACCGAGTATATTTGTTATTGTTCTGTTTTTTCGTAATTTCAAATTCTGAACCGCTGATTCGGTGATGAAAGAACTCTGCGAACCAGGATCGATTAGAGCTCTCGCCCTCTGATAGCGTCCCGTTGCTGGACATACTATTTTAATGCACGCAGTGGCCAGTAGAACCTGTCGTTTGTGTGCATCCGATGTGCCGCAAGTGTGAACATGGCTGTTGCTGCCGGGTACGAACGCTGGCGCCAATGACGAAATTTCACCCGCCGTGGTTGGAGGTGATGGATCATGTGAGACGTAGTGCGCACGTACTTGTGACGCGACTGCGGTCTGCTGCTGTCGCCGTGATAGGCTTCGATCCCCAATTTCTTCGTTGTCCCTATGCAATAGGGTATGATGTCGTTGATGACATTTAAAACAACTCTGTTGACTAGGGCAAGTGGTCATCATATGTCCAGAATTAAGACAGTTGATACACAATCCCCTACCTTTAACAGCTTCCAATCTTTTGTTTTGTCTTAATCCCAAAAATCTTTTGCATTGCTTCACCTTGTGTGGGCCCCGACAAATAGGGCAAGGTGAGTTACTATTCGCCGTTGCATCCGTAGCAGCATGCAAAGCGCAACTATTCCTGTGCTTACTAGCTTCGTTTTGTAAAGGTCTATAATGTGATGAAGATCGCCTCGTTGATATAGCCTCCAATGTGCGAAATCGAGTTTCAAGGAAACTTTCCAATTGTCGCCAAGTTGGTAATTGATTCTCCGCGCTGACGCTCTGTTCCCATAGCTGATGTGTCTCGGTTGGCAGTTTTTGCACGATGAGATAAACTATTATAGGATCCCAGCCCTCCACATCTATTTGTAGATTCTTTAATGCCTGTAAGCATTCATTAGTAGTGTCCAGTAATTTTTTAACTGCCGTAGCCGTCTCCTGATTTACAAAGCTTTGATTGAGCAGCAATTTAAGTTGAGTATTAACTAATACTCGCTTGTTGTCATATCTTTCTTTCAACATGTTGAATGCGGCAGCATAATTATCCTCTGTTACTTGAAAGGCTCTCAACAAATGCTCTGGTTCACCGGAAAGGTGCAATTTGAGGTACTGTAATTTCTGGACCGCTGGAATCATCTCATTATTATGGACCAAAGATTTAAAAAGATCATAGAACGAAGGCCACTTTTGATAATCGCCGTCAAATTTTGCCAAGGTGATTTTTGGCAAATTTATTGAAATATTGGGAACATCCACCCTTTGGCTAATACTTTGATTTGGGTCCATCTTTAGCTCCGGTGGTCTCTCTGGGAATTTGGTTTTCATTTCAGCTTCTATCATTTGATGTTTATATTGATAAAATGTTTTTATTTCGTTGAAAACGCTATTTTCCAAGTAAGGGTACTTCACATTGTCTGCATTTTTGTCAGTGTATGATGCAACCAATATTTGTCTATGTCTCTTCTTCAGCTCCGCATACAGGCCCCCTATGTCATCTAGAGCTTCCCTGTAAAACGCCTTCGGCTTGCTTTCACGTGTGTCATCCAGAAAATGTGAGACTATTTCCTCGATCAAAAACTTGTCCGCTAATTGAAGCTTAATTAATTTGTCCATTGTATATAGTTTCAAAAAAAAGTGTGTCACGAAAATATCCTTTTACGTTAATGTAAAAGGAACAAAATACAAAAGTAAACGAATACGGGCAATAAAAAAATAAACGCTTATTGTTAATCAAACGAATAATTTTATTCAAGAATTCAGTTAATTTTTGCCTTGTACAAAGTTTTTATTTTGTAGAAAATTTATATAATTTTTTTTTTTTTTTACAACTTTACCGAAAAATAATCCATACCGTACAGTATTAAATTAATTTTAATTATATTACAATTCACTTATTTCACACAACACTTTCAATCATTTTATTGCACAATTCTTGCATTAAAAGTTGTTAACTCATGAATTCACTTTTTAAAAAACGGAATCTCCGCGCGAAAAACAACGCTTCTATTGTTCAAACAAATAATCTTAAAATGTTGTTGAATGTTAGATTAGTAATATGTGCAACCACTAACGATAAAGTTATGATCCCTTAATTAATTTTTTTTTTTGTAATTTCAATTATAATTATTACCGCGTTCTGATTAAATCGCACAAGATACCTTCAACTCTAAAATCCTCTTTCTTTTATTATTTTTTTTTTTTTTTAATAATCTGTTGCCTCAAAAATATAAATAAATTTATTCCATCCATCCAAAAAAAACAATGTCCACAAATCAATTAGACACCATACAAGCAATCCAATTTCATTAAAAAAGGTTGAACAAAACATATAATAAAATCTTCAACCAAAATCTCAACAAAAAGAAGAAAATATTTTTCTCAAAAAAAATTGGAACGGACTTACTTAATTTTCTGTTAGCCAGCCACTTACTCCAGAAGCACTTACTCCGCTTATTCCATTGGCGCGAAACGCGAACCGATACCGAAACCGTTTTGCACTACTAGCTTCAAAAAATTCACACAAAAAAAAACACAATGTTCCCTTCTTATATATTTTTTTTTTTTTTTTAATGTTTGTAAATCTTAATATTTTACACTGTTCCCTTGCAACAAAACTTAAATATATAATGGTTCACTGATATTTTTTTTCGAATGTTTTAAGCAACACCTTTTTTTTTCAAACTTTTACCACTATTAATTGTTTCCTTTTTTTTTATATATATATCGCACTACCACCTTTGTCTATGGTCTATTTTAACACCAATTTATTACACAACACCGTTCTTCATTTAAAGTATATAAGTTTAATTTTACAATAAAAAAAACCAAGTTTCTAAATTCAAATTTGCCTCCAAAAAAATCCGGCTCGAAGGACCAAAAAATGTTCGCGAATAATTGCTAACACTTTTAAAATATTTAAATAAAAAATAAGTTTTTTGTTTTTTAGAATTCTCAGTTTATTATAGAAAGCACCAAATCCAAAAAATTTATGTTCTCTTTTTCTTAAAAAAAAATTTACTAAATAAATATGTTTTATATATATATATATTATATTTTCTTTCTCTTCAATTTTCTTTTCTTTTTTTTCAAATTGCTTCACAATACAAATCAATACAAATTTTCTTTTCTTCAAATTATTTCACAATGCAAAAGTTATATGTACAAAGTTGAAATTATACAATTCAAAAAAATGATCTTTGTTTTAACAATACTTTCTTTCGGTTTCAATTATATAATTCAAAAAGTTATTTCAATTTTGACAAAATGTATAACTCGAAAGTCGATACGTTGCGGTGAGCGATCTTCTATTTAGTCGTACTTCTTCTTGATGATTTTGTCCCTTTTATAATTTCTGGAACCAGCGGTTGAGTAAACGGTGAAGTTGTTCCTAGCCAGTCCCACTTTTCGGTTGTTAACGTTTTCTTCTTTTCTTTTACATAGATCATATGGTATAGTTCAACGAACCTGTAATGCAATGTATCATTCTTATATACATCGCAATACAAATTGTTGTTGTAAAATTCTACGTTTCTTCTTTTCTATTTTATGCTATTTTCCCCTTCCATTCTCCATTTCATTCACCTTCTATTTCCTTTCTTACTCTATTACACTTCCATCAATAGCTGACTATAACCCTAAACAAACTCATCTATGATCATAGGTGACAGTTGGCAGCATTGAAATATAATATTTGTGCAGAAATGATCGCTGCAAACTGTCACTCACCAGTTTTATTTATATTGTGATGTGAAGTGCAAGTTTTTTAAAGAAAGCAAAAAATCAAAATTTTACACAAAAAAAAATGGAGATTTATAGGAGCCGGAGCTCAAAAAGGAAATGCAGCAATGGAAGGAAAAAACGATGGAGGAGTGAAGAGCAACCAAAAAGTGCTGGACCGGCACTTGAAAATCCTATCTGGACTGGTAGATGCATAGCTGGAAAACATTGCAAATTCATGTAAGTATTTTATTGCAAATAAGATTACATGTTAAATCCAATATATTCAATTTTAGGTGAAGAACAAAAACCCGCTGAGTGGATTACACTGGATTATAGCAAATTTAGATAAGTATCAAAAATTTTCCTTCATATCAAGTAGTGTTTCTTTGTGGTTTTCTTTTGTTGTTTTCTTTTTAGGAAAGGAGAAAATTAACTGTGACGTCATGACGGAACACCCTAGTTATTCCAAATAATTCAAAATACTTAAACTTTAAGAATATGGACTTACACCATTTTTCACTCTCTTTTTTAATATTATTAATAAATTATTTAACATTAAATTTCTTTTAATTTAATTTATTAAAAAAATTAATGTGATTAATTCATTTCTTCTGAAAAATTTTCATTATATTTGGTAGATAGATGACATAAAAATATTATGGTGCCAATAAAGTGACAATAAGATAAATTTTTTTTTTTTTTAACACAAAAATTTAAAAAATTAAATTAATCAATTTTAAAAACTAATTTTAATGGCCAAAAGAAGAGAAATTAATTTATAATTAATTAGGGGGAGATGAGTGAAAATATTTAGAAATAAAATTTTTTTTATAACATTTTAAAATTATTTATAGAACAGATTATTACTGGGAACTCAGAGCACCATTTCCATAGAGCTTTACTAATAATAGGTTTTACATGGGATCTTGGCCATACATTCCAGTTTATTTTCAAGGAAAAACGCATATTGTAAAATTCTGATCACTGTAGCCAGTAAAAACTTATTGTCGCTCCTATATTTTCCATTAGCACTATTTATTTCCCGTCAACACCCAATGATGTCAGCAATTAAACTTCAGCTCGTAAATACTTAAACAACCTCGCTTAAATCATGCCTGCCTCCTGGTGGACAGAGCTTAACGGTTACAGAAAATATGTACGACCGTTTCCTGGTCGCCCCAACAAGATTTACAAAAAGGGGTTGACAATTGACCCAGTTTATGCAGATTCATTGGATAACGCTCAGTGAAGAAGCTTTTAATAGAATAAATCCGATTTCCAGTCAATCCCCAGTAACTTGAAGGAAAATCTGCTTGTGTAAAATAGAAAAAACATTTTCGCATGATTAACACTGAGAGCAAGCTCTAAGTACTTCTTTACGTAATAGCAAAAAATTTAATAATGCCATAATAAGAATAATTTTAATTAAATATTCGACCGCCATAAGATTTTTATAAAGTTATACAATATAACAGTAATGCCGTAAATAACTTACTGCACAAATAATTGACGCATTCGATTTCAAATTTAAGAAAAAGTCAAACCATATGTGAAATTCTCTTCCAAAATGAACAATTCATTTCTTCAATTGTCTGTCACACCTCTTACAAAAATTGCATATTTTTTTCATAACCAGCTTTCACACATGTTTAAAAGATTTTTGTATTAAAAATGAACAAAACACAAAAAAAAAACAACGTCAAAAGAACAAAAATTTTTGTAATTTTTTTTTATATTGCATCTTTTTTTTTGTCCTTGTCTTCTCTTTAAGGATAATGTCAAAATGTCATTCAAAATCATTTTTATCCTATATATATTTTGTTATTTTCATTTTGTATATCCTTATTGTTAGGACCTTTTTAAAATTTTATAATACAACAGAGAGTATAAGCAAAAACAAAGCAAAAGAATAATACTGTTTACAGCCACTTACAGTATAATGCCATAAAGAGCTCTACTGTCCCATTTACCTTTTTTTTTTTTATTTTTCTTACTTTCTTTTTTTTTTTGGCAACTATTAAACAATACTTAAATTTAAATAGAGTTCTCATCCATGGATTGTAACAATTTCATTGACAATATTAAAAAAAAAAAAAAAAAAATTGCTATTACTCAAATATTCACCCTACACAAGAGTGGATGGATGCTCTTTGCAATGCTTATATAGATGTTATTAAATTAGAATGTGAATGTAAATATATAAAAAGAAAATTATTTTATGAGCAGGGAATGTAAACCTTGTCTGTTTGTCGTAAATTTTGCAATATAAATGATAAGAAAATCTTGGAATTGGGGTTCTTATGAGTACCGATCATTGTGACACAGGTCGATTGGAAAAATTACATCTTCATGAGGTGAATTTTGAATCACTATCATTCCATAGAAACTCTTAAATAATAAGTTTCCTATACTTTCTCTTTAAGTTTTTTGTTTAGTTGTAATGATTTTGGAAAGAATGTTTGATGAGTAAGCTAATTTGTATCTATTAATTTCTATTTTCTTGCTGATCTTCTGCAAACTGCTATGTTAAATTCATGGTGAGTGCTACAAATAATGCATTATTTGGTTTTATTGAAGATAGTGTAGAAAAAATCAAATGATATTATGAAATGGAATATAATTTACGAATAAATCCAGACCGAAAAATATTGAATTTAAGCTAGATTCAACTTAAATGCTCTTAAGAAATCATAACAAATTGCAAAACCAATATAATTCAACACTGTTAAAATGTAAGAAAAAGTCATTGCTAGTATATTATTTCGAAAATATATTCAATTTGCAAGAAAACTTGTAAGAACCATAATAGCATGTGTCTACGAGGTCTTGGCTAAAAGAGACTGACACAGCCGCTGCAGTTTAGATTCCACTATATGCGATAACATAATATTCGG